TTGCAACGCATTGACTGGCGTTGACCTAGGGTTACGCGTTGACCGGCGTTGACCCTTTAGGGTTTTGGATCGTCAAACGTTGACTCTGGTTGCAACGCGTTGACTGGCGTTGACCTACGATTACGCGTTGACCGGCGTTGATCCTTAGGGTTTTGGATCGTCAAACGTTGACTTGTGCTGCAACGCGTTGACTGGCATTGACCTAAGGTTACGCGTTGACCGGCGTGGACCCTTAGGTTTTTTTGAATCGTCAAATGTCGATTGGTGTGGATTTTCATTCTCGAACGTTGACTTTGGTCGCAACGCGTTGACTGGCGTTGACCTAGGGTTACGCGTTGACCGGCGTTGACCTTAGGGTTTTGAATCGTCAAACGTTGACTTTTGTTGCGACGCGTTGACTGGCGTTGACCTAGGGTTACGCGTTGACCGGCGTTGACCCTTAGGGTTTTGAATCGTCCAACGTTGACTCTTGTTGCAATGTGTTGACTGGCATTGACCTAGGGTTACGCGTTGACCGGCGTTGACCCTTAGGGTTTTGAATCGTCGAACATTGATTGGTGTCGATTTTCACCAAGACATCCAATAATCGACGGAAACGGGTGAATTCGGGCCTAAAACAGGCGTACGGGGACAAAACAGGACCCAAAACACCCGGGGGTGTCTCGCCCTTGGCCGAGACACCTTGGGGTGTCTCGGCCTTGTCTCGGCCAAGGCCGCTACACCTTGGGGTGTCTCGGCCAAGGCCGAGACACCCTAGGGTGTCTCGGTTTTGGGGCCGAGACACCCCCTCTCCCCTCTCTTTTGTCTTTTTCTCCTTTTGTTTGTTTAGCTTTTTCCTTGTTTTGGTTTTATTACCCCTTTTGTTTTCCCCCCTCTTTTCAAATTTTCAAAAGAAAATCCCCCTCAAACCTCTTCTTCTTCCTTTCATCTTTCCACCATTGTTCCCATACTAAAATTTTGGATTTTTTGGTGCTCCCTCTTTGGCCGAAATTCTTCTCCTCCAACTAGGGTTCCCTCCTCCACCTTCAAGCTCAAGTCTTTGCCCTTGGAGTTGGGGTTTTCAAGCCTCTTGATTTGGGTAAGTTACTCCTCAAGCACTCTCCCTTTTTGATAAAGATTGAATCTTTATGTTGGTAGTAGACAATGGGTTGTGTAGGCACAAGAATTTGGGGGTTCTATGCAAAGTTACAAATAAGGCCGAAATTTTGGGGGCTTTGTTGCAAAGTTACAAATAAGGCCGAAAATTTGGGGGGCTTTATTGCAAAGTTGCAATATGGCCGAAAATTTGGGGGGCTTTGTTGCAAAGTTGCAAATAAGGCCGAAAATTTGGGGGGCTTTTATGCAAAATAGGACTGAAATTTGGTCTTGGATTGTATGTCCACTTGGTTGAAAATTTGATGGGTGCTTTATGCAAGAGTTTTTGAGGGGTTAATTTGCAAAAGAGCCCATAAATGTCTTAGAAGGGCTTTTATGCAAAATTGCAATATAGTTTGAGGGATTTATCTGCAAAATTGGCTCAATTCTACAAAAGGGCTCATTTGTAAAATTGACCAAGATTGCGGGGTGTCGGGGGTGCTAAATGATCAGATATGATGACCATGACCCGAACCGGGTGTGTCCTTGACCTGAATTTTGGCCTTGAACACGGAGGGTATTTTGGGTATTTCACCAAAATTCACCGCGAAAATGACAATCATTGTTTCGCATGCACGAAATTTGTAGGTTTAACTAGACTTCAATTATGAAATCCTATTTATGTATAGGTCTTCTTGCATCCCTGATTGACCTCTTTGCGGGTCATGAAGGAAGAACCGATACCTCTCTCGCGGAGGTTAAGGTTTCAGACTTGTTTTGCTTAGCCAATTCAAGTCTTCCGGTATATTGGGGCGATTTTGTGTCGTCCTACACCTTATAGGTCGGTGTATGTTACCACGTTATTCACGTGATGATGCATACCGTTCTTCCGGTGTAGGACACTCAAAATCGTCTCTCCAATTATTCCGTGGATTGAGCTTATCCTTCTTCTTATGAATTTTCTGACTCCACCCTTGTGCTTTATTGTAGTGGAATTTCCCGTGGGTAGCCTTCCTCCTCACGCCAACACTGGTTGTAGTCGGGAGGTCTTCTCTTCAGCTTCCCTTAGGCAGGCTGTTAGCCCACTTACTCGGTTCGATAGAGATCGCTCAGACGACTCTTGCCGCTTGATACGGGAAGGAGGGCGCCATTGCTTGTGCCAGCTTATCACAGATGCCTCCTTCACCGTCGATTCTACCTCCACTCAGGCTTTACAGAAGCCGAGCTTCTTGTTCGGGGATCATGTCGAGGATCCTGCTACACTGACCCTTGGCGAGGAGCACTGGCTGACTTTTGACGGTGGAGCTTGTTTGTACATCCCCTCGATTCCACGCCAACATTCTTTCAGTCACTTGAAGGGGCAGGCCGTGGAAAGACAGATGTCTTGGCACCTTACTGAAAATGCTGAGCGAGTTCAGTGTGGATATGTCACTCACCATAAGACCCCTGGCTCTAACGGGTATCAAGACGTTCGTGGTCTTCGACCGGGGATCATGGGTCTTGACACCGCACCCCCAGGCGAGGTGTCAGCAGCTGCTCCTACCGTGAGTAATCGTCTGGCTCTTCTCGGGAGACGGTTACCTCCACCAGAGTACAGATGTTACGGTTGGGCTTCCTCGCTAGCCAAAGGGTGGTGGGCGCGCATGACTGGTTTCGTCTTAACGCGCTGGGAGAGGGATCTGAAGAGCAGTGGGTTATATGCGCCCATACGAGCCACCATGTACGGAATCCCAGTCAGCTGTCGCCGTTTCTTGGCTTTGCTGGAGACTTACATGCCTGACAGCAACACCTTTCTGACCAGTGGTGGTGAGCTAGGGTTAGCTTTGCATGAGATGCATTATGTTTCGGGTCTTCCGATGGGGGATTGTCCGTATCAGGAGTATTTTCCCTCGAACCAGCAGCTGGAGTGTATGAAGAAAGATACTCCCGACATGTACGACACTCTCTGGGATCTTACCTGTCATTATCACACCTCCTTGGTTCAGACTTCTCCTCAAGCGAAGAGGAAGAGGCAGGTCAGCTTGAAGCAGTTTGCCTGCTATTTGTTCCAGAACTTGGAGGGTAACTCCGATGAGTCCATTCATGAGTTAGACATATTGACCCCTTCTGCGATTAATGAGTTGCTGGAGAAGGCTGAGGCTCGTTCCTACACCATCGGCAGTACTGAGGGAGCTTTTCCCGTGGGAACCAAGTTTCGTTCTTTTCTCTGCCGTGCACAGAAGTCCATTGGGCCCCGGACTCTGTTAGCAGGCTACATTGCCCTTTGGTTGAAGAAGTGTGTTGTCCCGCACCAGCCTTCAGATGCTCTACCCATCGAGGTGCTCCTCCCTGCAGTTCAGCTAGCTTACGGGAGAGAGCTTTCCCTGCTCCCAGCGATGGTTGCTGGCATCCATTGCGGGCTCAGGGGTCTGGTCAGCAGTTTCACACATATGGGCTCTGCACCATCAGCTGAGCTTGTTTGTCCGAAGGTTGAGCTCCCTTACGCATATCTGATGGCGTGGCTCGTTCTCCACCGCCCCGACTTGATGTCGGCGCCCAGCGTTGTTGACATCCCCGTCCCCTTCATGCAGCTGTTGGAGAAGAGCAGATGGCTCGGGAACAAGTTTAGTGATGTGCAGCAAGAGCTTCGAGTCCGCAAGAGTTGGGAATTCTTTAAGTGTTTCCCTCATTTTTCAGGTCGCTATGGCGACGCGCTGGTTGATGAGGAGAAACCCAGAAGCGATCGGACTATTCTCGATGCTGGTTGTTTCCGGTGGCTAGTGAACATCCGTGTTGGATATCTTGTCCTCCGGGTGAAGAACCAGTGCTACATAGAGCCTTATCTCCCTTGCCGCTTTGCTCGCCAGTTCGGCTATGACCAACTGTATGTTGGGAATCCGAGCCGTAGCCTGCAGGTTGAGGGAGGATTGATTGATGGCGTACGAGCGTGGCTGTGGACGATGGTGGGCTGCACTGGAGCCTATTTTGCTCTCCCTTCATATAGGCGTAAGCCGCTGACCACTTTCCTCAGCTGCAAGTGGTTCCTTTCCACCTATGAATCCATCAACGTTAAGAGCCTCTCAGAGTTACAGTCCGAGTACTCAGTCCGGGCTGCTATGATGGCTGGTCGCAAGGCTAAGGTCGCTCAGAAGCGGAGAAAGGGGCATGCCAAATCTCTTCTTACAGATGATGAAGAGCTCCTCCCTACGGGTGACGATGACGAGACCTCCGAGGAAGAATATGCGGATGCAGATACCGACCAAGAAGAACTCGATACTGGTTTGTCCCGCCTCTTTGATTTTCCTTCTCCATTAATGACAGCTCTTGTTCATTTAATGAAATGGCTATTGTCACTTTAGGTAGGACAGCCGACGATCATGAGCCGCTGGCTCCTACACACGTTGAAACGTGTGACAGGCCTGTGCATGACCGACCCGTTGGTCCTAGGAGGGTTGGCGTTCCGAAGCGGAAGAAGACCGTACATAAGCCCCACGACGGTCAGCGCCCTTACGGAGTGGACTTAGGAAGCACCGCCGATGGAGGGGAAGGTAACATTTTATTGCCATTGCTTTAAGGTGATTTACCTTTTGGGATTTGTGACCATGTTTTATGCTCCAGGGTTCTTCGAAGAGGGCGAACTCCCACCGGGTTCGGAATCTCCTGGTGTTGATAACATGGATTGTTTTTCGAGCTTTCCTCATCTTTCAACATTCAGGTTACCCTGCAGATGTCGCGATGGAAAGGCCAAGCTTCTCGAAGCCCGATGCCGGCTTATTAGCTGACATGCTGGCTGAGCAGACTTCCAGAGGAACCGAGAGACCATTCTTTGGGAATGATTCACCCATCGGTATACATATGGTTCCCTTCCTCTTGCCTGATCTTTTATCTGGCTAACGAATGATTAATTATTGCAGCGCCAACCATTGGGGTTAGTCCGATATCGATCCCTGGCATATCCAGCTTGCCTCGGAGTGACGGACTCGCAGGTACGCATACGACTTAGGGATATCGTACTTTTCTATGTTCATCTGACTTTCGACTAATATATGAGTGCGATCATAGGACCAGCCACTGGGACTGATTCTCATATGACTCCTGGCATTCCTCAGATGCCTACGGATGATGGGTCTACAGGTATGTAGATGACTTTATTATCCCAATCCTCCTTATTTGTCTAAATTTTCATTTTGACTAATAAGAGGGTGCCATCATAGGACCAGCCGCTTGGGCCGATACTCTTATGACTCTTGGCATTCCGACTGCATCTGAGGACGGGGGCATCGCAGGTATGTATGAGATCTTCTTGTCCCGATTCTCCTTATTTGTCCAAATTTTCATTTGGCTAATATAGGAGTGTAACTATAGGACCGGCCGTTGGGCCTGATACTACTACAGTTCCCGGGGCTGAAGGTCTGGATAGAAGTGGCGTCTCTCCGTCCTTACCGAGCGACATGAGCAATCCGCCTGCAGGGGTTGATATACCCTCTTCTGCTGCTGTCTCAGAGCCTGTCGGACCTCAGCCTGAGGGGACGTCCGTTGGCGTTGGTATGCTCAGAACTTGCCTTTTGAATTTCCTTATCGTATTCGATAATCCGCTGAACTTTTATGTTGTTGCTTGTAGGATCTCGATCTTCCCTATACGAGCGTATCTGCGCCCTTTTGGTCGATACTCATCCTGACAGAGAGGCTTTTCGTACGGACCTCAGCTTCTTCACCGCCTTTTATAACGGCCTAATCGAGAAACTTCTTCACAGAGGAGGCGGCTTCGATCAGTTCCGGCGCTCCTTTTCTCGCCACATGATGATGATGAGGGAAGAAGGATACCCAGAGTTGGCCGATCGAGGAAAGATACGGATAGAGCTGAGCTACTCCGCTCCTTGGACTCGAGTCGCGAGGAGGTGACTAGGTTGAAGGAGGCTTTGAAGCACGCCGAGGAATCTGCTGCCCTCATTGCAGATGACCTGGCCGGACTAGGGCGTTCTCGGGAACAGGCACTCGAGAAGCTAAGATCTACCCAGGAGAGACTGATGAAGCTGAAGAGCGAAGCCGCGGAGATTTTGAGCCATTCTGAGGAATCTGCCCGAGCTGATCTGCAGGCGGGACTTGAGCGGAGTTATGCAGATAGACTCTCTAGCTTAAAGTCTCATATTCTTAGCCGTCAGTTGCCTTCGGGCTAACGAGCTTTTTGTTGTATGCTCTTGACTTGATCTATTAATAGGAACTCCGCATTTGCTTCTTTTGTGATTTTTCTGCATTTATTCTGAATGACAGATTTATGGGATTTTTGGCAAACCCCCAGCCATCAACGGGTTTGATATGTCTTTACCGATTACCGTTTGAAATCGGACTAGCATGTGAATTATAAAACCCGTCTCACATGTAACGTTGTGCTAAGAGAGTAAACTCTCTGAGGCTTTGTGCTATGATTTTGAATACATAGGCTTCGTCTTTCTCACGGGAATAGACTACCCGGCAACGCGTGTTAGGCGTTAGCTTATCCCTACTTAGGCTTCGGAATGAAATTCCCCGTGCATCGAGTGCCCGGATTGGGAGTCGTGTCTTTTCTAAAAGCAAAGACAGACTGAGAAACGGGAGAGGAAGAATTTTATATTCTATCTCCCGGTGCTGAAGAGGAAGAATTTTATATTCTATCTTCAACTGGAAAGGAAACAGGAGAGGAAGAATTTTATATTCTATCTCCTGGTGCCAAAGAGGAAGAATTTTATATTCTATCTTTAGCTGGAAAGGATCTATCTTCCGGTGCTGAAGAGGAAGAATTTTATATTCTATCTTCAAGCGGAAAGGAAACTCGAGGTGGGATCTCCACCCCCAGAATCCTGCAGGATGAAACTAAGAGTGGGATCTCCACTCCGAGAATCGGAAAGGTTTGAACGACACTACATTTTATAGGATTGGTCATTTGAACCCAAAGAACCCCTCATTCATTGAGGAGAAGACCCAATTTCAACCCTAACTTTTATAGGTTTGGTGGAAAAAGGGGACAAAGGTGGATTTTCGTTTATCGAAAAAGAGTGACTCGACTTTAGTCTTGACTATGTGTAGGCTTGACTAAGCGAGATCGGAAACAATCCTAACTTTTATAGGTTTGACTGTTCCAAGTGGACCTCTCGTTCATGGAAGGAATCGAGAGAGGAATTTGGCTTTGGCCCTAACTGTAGGAAGGTGAGATGACCCTAACTGTCGGAAGGTTTGATCACTCGATTTGAAAGTGGACCTCTCGTTCATTGAAGGAACCGAGAGGGGATTTTGGCTTTGGCTCTAACTTTTATAGGTTTGACCAGAAAGCAAAGAAAGTGGAATACGGGTAGCAAGGAAAGTGCCAACTCGTATTATCACTCAAAGGGAGACTTTAATGCTAGGTGATTCTGACCTAACACGTTGAGTCTGAGAAATGCCAATGACTGGCAGATGGAAATGTTGGTGGATCCACCGTCGTTTAATTTGATCAGCGGATGGTTTGGTGAGGAAAGATTAACCTATCAGAGGATTAGATCTCATCTCACAAAAGGAACTCATAAGAGTTAGAGAATTTTGTCGAGAATAAGAAGAGACATTCTGACCTTCAGAGTTCGAACGTGAATTTCTTATTCACCAATTCCACAATGATTGGGTTATCCCTAAGAATACCCATGTGGTATTCTTCCGGGAACTTCCCGATGCATTGGTTATCCAAAAAAGGTACTAAGGATAGTATCTTTTCAGGAATTTGCCGTTTATCGGCATCATGAGCCGGCCGCCGTCTTTGGTGACGAGGCGATAGGCGCCACTCGAGTAGACTGTCTCCACTACGAATGGTCCCTCCCATTTGGGTTCAAATTTACCCTTCTTCTTGGAATTGAGGATTTCGCTGATTCCACAATGACCGGGTTATCCCTAAGAATACCCATGTGGTATTCTTCCGGGAACTTCCCGATGCATTGGTTATCCAAAAGATACTAAGGATAGTATCTTTTCAAGAACTTGCCGTTTATCGGCATCATGAGCCGGTCGCCGTCTTTGGTGACAAGGCGATAGGCGCCACTCGAGTAGACTGTCTCCACTACGAATGGTCCCTCCCATTTGGGTTCGAATTTACCCTTCTTCTTGGAGTTAAGGATCATAGGCCGTCTTACAGCTAGAACTAGATCTCCTTCCTTGAAGCTTCTCTGTCGAACCTTTTTGTCGAAGGCTCGAGAAATCCTAGCTTGGTAAAACTCAATTTGCTGTTGAGCTTCCAGGCGCTCTTCATCGAGCCTCTCGAGTTCTTCGAGGCGTTTCTGATGTTGTTCTTCGGTCGTCATCTGGGTCGCAAGGGCGATCCGAAGAGACGGGATTTGGATCTCCAATGGAAGAACAGCTTCACATCCGTACACCAGTGAATACGGGGTTGCTCCCGTTGGTGTGCGCACCATGGTCCGATAGGCCCATAGAGCTGCGCCAAGCTTGTCATCCCAGTCTCGTTTATTATTTTTCACGATCTTTGACAAGAGTTTGATGATAGTCTTGTTGAAGGCTTCAGCTAATCCATTCGCTGGAGGATTATAAGCCGTCGACGCGATATCCTGAATTTTAAACTTTTCGCAGAACCTTATGAAGGTGTTGCTGACAAACTGAGGACCGTTGTCATGTATGATTCGTCTTGGAACGCCATACCTATAGATGATATGGTGCTTGATGAATGCAATGACTTTGCTCGTTTTAACTTCTCTGAGTGGAACTGCTTCAGCCCATTTGGAGAAGTAATCGGTAATCGTCAGGATGAACCGGTCACCCTTGACTGATGGGGATTTATTGGGCCAACGATGTCCATTCCCCAAGTCTCGAACGGCCATGACGTAACCGAAGGATGCAGATGCTCCGGAGGTTGGTGCATATAATTCCCGTGCATTTGACATGCATTACACTTTCGGGCATACGCAATTGCATTACTCATCATGGAAGGCCAAAAATACCCCATTCTTCTGATACGATCGTAAAGCTTGGGACCAGGTTGGTGTGCGCCACACTCTCCTTCATGCGCCTCCCTAAGGACCTCTTCAGCTTCTTTGGTTGATAAGCAACGCAATAGCAAACCATCGTACCCCCTGCGGTACAACGTTCGATTCTCCGTGTTATAGTAGAATCTTGGTGCTCTTCGTCGGATCGACTCCCTTTCCTTCGCATCTTCTAGCAAGATTCCATGCAAGACGTAGTCGATGATGGGGAAACGCCAATCTCGTGGTTCGAACTCGATTCGAGTAGCGTGCGCCTCTTGAACCTCTTCTTCCTTGGCATCTTCATTGTAAAGCGGCACTAGGAGTTGGTGAGTTCTTACCGTAACAAACTGCTCTGTTTCGGGAGGCTGCGCCAGTGATACGGCCAATGCTGCCAACGCATCTGCGTAAGTATTCTGTAGCCGTGGAATATGTTCGATAAAGAATCCTTCAAATGATTCCGCTATCTCCACTGCCATCTTATGGTATGGAATCAAATCCTGACTTCGGACTTCATATTCTCCTTGGACTTGGTTGACTATTAGCTGAGAATCGCCGAAAGCCTCGAGATACTCCACCCCCAGCTCCTTAGCGAAGTTGAGCCCTATAATCAATGCGTTATACTCTGCTACATTATTCGAGCATGACTCGGTTAGCGAGTAGGCGCGAGGCATCACATGTTTTCCTGGGGAAACTAAGACAACCCCCACTCCGGAAGAAATCTTAGACCTCCCAGGAGCACCTGTGACAATAGCTGCTCGGGAAGTGCCATCGAAGTATAAACGCCATATTTGTTGATGCGAAGTTGCGTTGACCTCGTGGGCTTCGTCGGGTAGATCGTCATATATCTCGGCGGTGTCCGTAGTTGGATTAGCTGCCAGGAGATCACAGATGGCCTGCCCTTTTACTGACTTCTGTTGTTTGAAATGTAAGTCGTATTGGGACAAGAGTAAAGCCCATTTTGCCAATCGCCAGCTCATGGAAGCTGGTTGAGTCATGAATACTTGGACCGGATTAACTTTAGAGATGACATAAATAGTCTGCCCGACCAGATAATGCCGCATCTTCTGAATAGCGAACACCAAGGCGAGGCATTCTCTCTCAATCATAGGATATCGAGATTCGGCGCCTACCATGGTTCGGCTCAAATAGTATACTGCCTGCTCATGACCGTTATCGTCATCTTGTGCAAGTAATGCACTTAATGAGTGGCTCGTCGCCTTGACATAAATCAAGAACGGTTTGCCCGATTTCGGTGCAACGAGTACAGGAGGTTTCGAGAGATATTCTTTAATACTCTCGAATGCCTTTTGA